CGACAATGCCCGTGACAGCACAACAATGGCTTTACTCTTTACACTATATTCTGGTCAAGAGGCCCAGTCAGACCGATCACCTGCCGGAGGAACTCCTGGTGGTTCTCCAATTGGTGCCCAAAGGCAAACTCCCAGCTGTCCTTAGGGTCCCGGCACTGCCAGTCGAACTGGTTCGGCAGCTTGCATTTTGTTGTGCACACCATCTGGTGTGTCAGATTGCATAATGCTGACCCGCTCAGAACGGAAACCACCATCCCCACTGCTGGGGAGATCCATTTGCCGTTGCCACCTAGGATGACGATATATGCCCAATTCACAGCCAAAACAACACAGCTGATCATGTAGAACTGTGAAACTCTGTAGTCTATGCTCATCAATCTGAACAATGTCCCAGCAAGCAACATGCCAGACTCAGCACGAACTGATTGGTCATTCCGGAGTCCCGCATCATCTCCACGTGGTTGATGACCAATGACAGCGTGTACGCCGTCAGCTGAAGAGCTCCATCCCGGTTCTTCCCCAGAACCGTCTCAAATACGCTCTCGTCTGCGCATGGATTTCCTCATTAGGTGATGGCTGAATCCATCGTCTCAACTTGCCACAGCAATTACAAAGTCACTCGCTGTTAACGCCAAAAACATGTGAAACATACGGTTTTGCTTTTGAAAGCTTCAATGAATTCAAGACATGCAATCCCAGCAACCCCAATTTGCAACCTCGACGTCCTTTTTTGGCCACAGTTTGCGAGGCCAAAAGGCCTCGCACCAAATCACGAATGACACGGCCCCGTTGTCGGCAAGGCCTAGTTCAGGCAGGCGGCGAGCAAACTCTGATACTTGGACTCTACTATTAGCTGTACCCTCTCAAAAACACATTGTGCACAGCTGATGTGTAGAAAAGTAGAAACCAATGAATGACATGAAGCGTGCCTGCGCACAAATTAGGGCAAAGCAAAGATCCCTTGATCCCTTCAGGACCTGATGGCAACACATGTAAACATGCAGGTCAAGAAAACATTGTTCATCCCTCATGTGTCATTTCCGCCTCAAACTGTCTCTCTATGAAACAAAACAATTGCATCTCACTTCGCTCTGACGAATCCCTCACTGACACAGTGACATCATCTCACCAAATACGTCAGGAAGCGACCCAAAAGAAGTGGGTAGTTAGTTTATAATGTGTCTCGTTTGGTTCAACGGGTCATTTTGGTAATCTTTTGATACTCAACCTTGGGCAACTCCGGTCATAATTTTCGATATCATTGCCATAACTGTAAGCTTGATTCCAATCAAGGCGCCAGTTGTAGTGTTCCGATAAGGGATCTCGGTTGCCCATGTGCACAAGAACACATTGTCTCTGGCAATTTGACGGTCCTTGCCAGTGAGTGCCACAATGGGTTGGGACTCATCATGAGCAGCAGGCTGCTCAAGCATATCCCAGTCTCTCAAATCTCCGCCATCTACGGGCATGGGAGCTGCTGCTTCAACTGTGACAGTCATCTGACTGATGACTGCAGCACAAATGGCGCAAGTCTGACTGCAATATGGACTGCAGCAGCAAGCGCAAGTCTTGATCGCTCTTGAGCCAATTCTGGTATGCAAAGGACAAAAAACCAGTGTGGCTGTGGTTTGGGTCAATGCTGGGATTTGTCATGAGCGGTTCAATAATTGATTGGTTGATTGATTGATTGCGGCTCAGTGACTTGACTTCCATCTGAAGTAGCAAACATGCCTGGGGTACTGTGTACAAGGAGAAGGCCACAATGCATCAAGCAATGATGCCTCACCATCTCAATCAGTTATCGCCATTCAATGTTCAACATCACAAACGCACATTGTCACATTCAGCCAGGCGCCTGGAATGAAAAGGGTATGAAAAGGGCATGAAAAGGGTACGAAAGTGGTATGAAAAGGGGTATGAAAAGGGTATGAAAAGGGCATGAAAAGGGTATGACAAGGGTATGGAAAGGGTATGGGGTATTCAAAGGGATATGAAAAAGGCATGAAAAGGGCATGAAATGGGTATAAAAAGGGTATAAAGAGGGTACGAACAGGGTATGAAAAGGGTATGAAAAGGGTATGAAAAGGGTATGACAGGGGTATGAAAAGGGTATGAACAGGGTGTGCAAAGAATATGAAACAAATATGACGTGTGATTAGAGTATGAGACCGGTCAAAAAGTGATACATTCTGTCTGTCAAACTGAGACTGTGGCAAATGGGCTACACACCAGTATCAGCCAGGGCCTGAGAGTGAGTCTGCTGGTTGACAAAGCAGTAAGTAGTCGGAATGGCACATGGGCTACACACTTTACACTATCAGCCAGGGCCTGGCCTGAAAGAGAGTATTTTCTCGAGACACATCACCTCTTGAACTGTGAGCGCCAACCTAGCCCTAGTCTTCCTCTTCGTAAGAAAGCCCTTAGCAGCAAGTCCCAGGATACGTCTCAACTGAAGCACCTGCTTAGCACTTGTGACAATCCATGACGCTGAGACTGGATCCAAGCGAACTCAAAAATGATCTCAAGTACGTAGGCTCTGAACAAACTACTTACTGACTCCTCATGCAGCATCTATGCATACACTCTTGGTTCATTCAGAGGAAAAGAAATGCACTTTTGATTGTCACAGTATGCCACATACCTCAACATAGGACCCGCACGATTCGCCAGTGTACTGCTGCTCTTGCCGGCAAAAGCATTCCTGATAGTTTCGGACAACTTGCCAGGAATGCACGTGACAGGTCAAAAGCAATAGGCTCAGAAACCAGGATTTTATGCCACTTCATGATGCTAACATCCCTCGTAGTATTCAACTTGACATTACATTGAATCATCGGTTGCTTCGTCAAATACTTCCTGCAAAGTGAAGATTGAAGCTGACTGGGGCTCAGAACTGAAGATTCCGAATCATCACTTTCCTTGAAGACCAAAGGAGTCATTCCCGAAGGAGGCGGCATCTCCAGCTGTAAAGCAACGAAAGTTTGTTGTATGCCCAATTCCCAAGGATATTTATACAAACTCTTCTTAACAGATATTTCGCAGAATTGCAGATGGAGGCATGCAGCTTCAAAAGATCGGTCGTTTGTTACTGTTGGTCATCCCCTCTTTCACTGTGTGCATGTCATCCATTTTGAAGTGGTGGATCAGGAACTTCAGATTCGACAAGGCCTAGGTAATGGACACCCAAACGCAAACCTCGCAAAAGCAGTGGGAGATCATGAATGCAATCAGACGTTTCAACTGCAAAAAAAAACGGTTGCCCTCAATTTTGCAGCCCATGCGCTAGTCCCTTCAGTCTGAGTCTGGACTGCAGCTGAAGCGCTAGTCCCTTTACAGTCTGCACTGCGACCTCAGCGATTGCATCCGCAGCCTGTTTGGCCTCAGTGTCTTAACTTGTGCCAGCAAACTCTCCGGCACAACCTCTTCCAAGACTTTCAGCGTTCTCCAGCAAGTCGTAGAAGGGAATGTGCCACAGATTCTGTGGCGCACTCTCTTTAAACTTTATTTAAGTGACGCACTGACCAATCTGACCAAGGCATCATCAAAGCTCCCCATTTTGCGGGTGAATGAATCTCATTCACCAGGCAACTGGGGAGCGTCTTAACGACGACTTGAAGTTTTTGCTCAATCGACGCACCTGCCAATCTGACCAAGGCATCATCAAAGCTCCCCATTTTGCGGGTGAATGAATCTCATTCACCAGGCAACTGGGGAGCGTCTTAACGACGACTTGAAGTTTTTGCTCAATCGACGCGCCTGCCAATCTGACCAAGGCATCATCAAAGCTCCCCAGTTTGCTGGTGAATGAATCATTCATTCACCAGGCAACTGGGGAGCGTCTTAACGACGACTTGAAGTTTTTGCTCAATCGACGCACCTGCCAATCTGACCAAGGCATCATCAAAGCTCCCCAGTTTGCTGGTGAATGAATCTCATTCACCAGGCAACTGGGGAGCGTCTTAACGACGACTTGACATTATTAGAAGAAGAGCATTCACGTTGAAATGTACCTCAAATAATATTCGAAGTGGTGAACCCTCTTGGGACCTGAGGCATGCGACTGTGCCTCTGGCAAATTGCCGCCGGTTGTGATTCGAGGGTGCAGTCAGGAGATCCCACATTGTGGTTGTCCTGACTGCACCCTCGAATCTGGCAGATGGTGCGCTATGCAAAGCTTTCGTCGAAAGCATTGTTCAGCGCACCGTCTGCCAGGCCAGGGTGCTTCAAAAGATGCCAGGGAGTTGACAGCAAGAGGCCAAAGGAAAGAAAAGAGTTGACTGTCCGTTCCCCTGGCCTGTTGCCGCCTCGAGGGTGCAATGTCATCACTGCAACCTGGAAAACTCTGGTTAGCGCAGCAGCTGCCGCAGACTGCTGCCGCAAGATGCTCAAATAAATTCATTTGGGCATTTTGTTGCAGCATCTCACTGACAGCGCAGAGGTCAGGAACTCGAAGCCCGTTACAGATACAGCAAGATCGCCATGTCCTCGAATTCGAGGACATGGCGATTTTATTGTAACATCTGTGTCACGGGGCAGCTACTCACTGTAAGAGCCATGGCACACAAAAGACTAATTAATGAAGCAAAAAGTGAAACATTGTCTGGTTCAGGAACAATAGTGAAATAACATAACAACATTAACCCGACAAGAACACATATCATACTATATGATGTGTTCCCCTGATTATTGTAAGCGATATCAAAGTCAGCATCATTGAATCAAAATGTTGTCCTTGTTTTGAGCCGAAATGGTCTGGTGCTGTGATCCAATCTGTGTCAAACTCAATCACTTTTATCTGTTGTTTTTGTGTTTTTGTTTAAGTTACTGTTATTTTTTAAACACGCAAACAAAGCGGAAAAGTGAAACAATAACATTTTATTTTTCCCAGAAAAAACAAAATTTAAAAAAAACAATCAAAAAATACATCTAGAAAAAGGTGGTTCTACTTAACCTCCAAAGCGCCAACCCAAAACGCCAGTTGACCATAGCCTGATTGAACCTTTGTCAACTTGCTGCCGTTGGAACTTTGTTCAGACTCTCTCAGTCTGAATTGTCCACTTCTGCATCTTCCTCGTCTGTGTCCACCATATTGTGGGTAACCACCTGCCTGTTGTAGATCTCCTCATTGAATTGTACCACCCATGCGGCATGCATTGGGTGTCCCACCTGAGATTCTCCTTGTAGAGTCGATTGTGGTGTGGAGACATTTGCCTCCGCCAAGCAGTCATAGAGAATTGTCTTCACATTCTTTGGCATGATTGTTATGCCTCTCACACCTGCCTGCTCCACACCCTGCAATAGTAGGGACATTGCCGGAGAAATGCGCCCTGCGTCCACTGCATTGCATACGTGGACCGGGTGGCTGTATGATCACACGAAGCCAGATGCGAAGCTCCATCGCGCAAACAGTTGTGCCGGGTTGTAGTTTTCAACCTTCACAATCCTCATTGTTGTCTTTTCATCTTGCGATAACCTGTACTTGTAGCCGCTGAGGATTTGTGACATAGTGCACGAGAATCCGCGATTGTAGCAGTTCACATTTTTGAGAGCCAAGTGTGACCCCCAATTGTGGTGATCGATGCTCACCACAGTTAGGACAATTGTGTTGTCCTTGTCCACCTTCACATGTCCTTCAGAATAGTGCCAGGCCATTGCGTTCATTGCGTCCTGAGCTGTTGGGAACCCTGCCAAGTGTTGCCAGCCTGCCTTTGTTCGAAGGCTGCCGTCCAGCATTGTAGGATACTCATTGTTGCCTCGCATGGCATTGTATTCCTTCAGTGTGAGTGGAAAGAAAACCTTGTGGGAGTCATCCATGGCTTGTAGTTGAACAAGCCAATCTCCACCCAACGTTGTCAGCATTGTAATTGTTGCCGACTCATAGTTCGCGAACAGGTTTGCATCCTTGTACGTTGTACGAGTGCTTCCTGTTCCATCCTTTTCCAGGGCATTGTAGTCCGGGAAGTCAAAGATCTCATTGTAGTTGGGCATGTCACATTTGACCAGGCCATCGGTGGATTGTGGCTCAGTCATTGTGACCCACTTGTTTCTCCCGATTGTTTCTCTGACAGAAAGCTGCGGTGGCACACAAATTGTCAACTCTCATGCCGTGAAATTCAAAAAAAGGTTCTTGTCATCTTCAATTGTCCCTTCAGGACTTTCAGCAAAATAAATTGTCAAAGCAAAACTTGAACTGTGCAAAGCTCATGGTGATACATTGTGATACATAGTGGATCCATGCGTGCATGTAGTACATATAGTCTATGACATAGTACAACGAATTGTGGCGCCATGGCTCGATCGCGCGCGCGTCCGCTAGAAACTACATATTGTAATTATTAGCAGAGTTGGGACGAGTTGTGGCGAAACGGGTATGTGTTGCCCGTGTTCATTATCATTGTGGGGAAAGTTGGGGTGCTCATTGTTTGGCCAGAAGGCCAGTGTTGTAGAGGTGCTTGTGAAGCACATCTGCCGAGACATACTTTGTGAGTATGTCTGCTGGATTGTCGTGAGTACTGATCTTGTGAATGGAAAGTATTCCATTGTGTACCAATTGCTGCACGAAGAGGTATTTTAGGTCAATGTGTTTGGCTTTCTTTGATGAGCCAATTCTTGTCGCAATACTTTTTCCGCTTGTTGAGTCGGTGTGTATGCGAATGTTGACCTTTGTGTTCATTGCTTCTCTGATGAAGTTCATTGCATGTAGTGCTTCTTGTGCTCCCGCGCCGATTGCGTAAAGCTCGGATTCGGCAGAGGATAGTGCTACCACTGCTTGTGTTCTGCTTCCAAATTGTACTGTTGATCCCATAAGGGTCATTGTCAATCCGGTTGTTGATTTTCTTGTTGATGGGCAACCTGCCCAGTCAGCATCGACATAGATGTTGAGGTCAATTGCTGCGTTGTGTTGTGGTGGCACAATTGTTCTGATCATCATCTTGTAGTTCTGCGTGCCTTTGAGGTAGCGTAGTAGACGCTTCAGCTTCTGTTGTGAATGTTGAGTTGGGGATTGTAGATCCCTTGCCAGTTCTTTTGTTGCGTAGCTTAGGTCTGGCGTTGTGTAGGTCATCCATTGTAGTTTTCCGACTGCTCGTCTGTATTGCGCGCGCTCTTCTTTGTTGAGGGGGACTTCCTCATTGACTGACTGTCTCAGTCCTGCCGTCCCTGGAGTTGTTGCCGGGTTGCATGTTTCCATCTTGTTCTCCTTGAGAAGTGTTGTTGTGTACTCTTGTTTGAGTCCAACCAGTAGGTGATCACCATTGTTGGTGATTTCTCTTCCAAGAAAACTAATTGTTGACCCAACCTGTAGTGAGCCTGTCTCCCTGAGGAGAACATGTTGTTGAATTGTTTTGAAGGCGTTGTCTAATAGGTGTTGTTCACCTAATACCAAAAGGTCATCAACATAGACCATGATGAATAGTGTTTGTTCTTTGTTTCTGTAAACGTTTGGTTCACTTGTGAGTCGTATGAGGCGCAGTTGTGATTGTAATATGTCGGCAAAGAAGTCTTGCCGTTGTTTTGGACTGCTTCTCAATCCATGGAGGGCCTTGTTCAATTGTTGTCGTGTTGTACCCTGATGGGTATAGTCCGCTAGGTGGCCACATGTAGAGATTGGCTCCTGCTGCAAGTGCATGTAGAAAGGCAACAGAAATGTCGCCGCACTTGATAACCCGTTGTCTGCAAAGGGCTATTGTCAATAGTATCCTCAAGATACCGAAGATTGGTGTGGATGCATAAATTGTGTCGAGGTCTTGTACAACTTCTGTGAAGCCTTTTGCTACAATTCTGCTTCTGACCTCATTGTCTTTGGGCTTGTGTACCCAGCGTGAGTCAATGATGTTTCCAAGATGTTCTTGTGGGATGTCGTTGTAGTTGACTTCTGTGAAAACGTTTTGTTTCCTCATTGACTCAACCTCTTTCTTCATTCCTTGTCTCATCTTGTCTGTGTCTAGACCTTCGTTGTCCAAGATCTCTGGCTCTTGTAGCATCTTTTCTATTTCTGCTTCTTGTTCATCTTGACACGATGCTGTTGTAACGCTGTCACCTTTCTTTGTTGTAATCGTCACTGCTTGTATCCTCATCTTCGTCGTTGCTGGTTCGTTGCTCCTTGTTGCTGCGGTGCTTGATTGTTCTGTCCTCGTTTGCTTTGTTTCTGCCTCTCCTGTTGGTTCGTCCGTTGTTCTCTTTGTTGCTTTTGCTCTTGCGTCTGATGCGGTCAGCATTGGCAGCGCTTGTCTTGTTGTTGTCGTTGTTGGCGATGTTGCCAGTGGTGACATTGCTGCTGGTGTTGCACTGCTGCTTGTTTCTGTGTGTTGTTGACCCATTGGAAGGGCCAATGGTGCTGTTGCACCTGTCGTTGTTTGAGTTCCTTCAGTTGTTGTTGCTTGTTCTGTTTGTGTACCCATTGCGTAGGTACCTGCTGAAGGGTTGGCCGGTAACAGCATTGCTGGTTGTAGTGTTTGTGTTGGTGTTGGTGATGTCCATGGGTGGACATTGATTGTGTCCAGTAGTTGTTTGTCGTATTTTTCTGGCATAATTTGTCTCCTGATTGTTCTGACTTTGACGATCTTGCCAGGGATGCCGATGATTGACTCACCGGTCATTGTGTCTCTTCCAAGCCAAATGCCTTTGTAAAACCTTTGTTCCAACTTTGGTTGTGTGCGTAGTGTCGGGATCATGTATTGTACCGTTTCTCCCATTTCACATAGTGGTGCTTTGTGGTCCTTTTGCCATCTCCTTTGGAAACTTGTTTGTCCATCACTGTGTATTGCATATCTGTTGAGGAGATATGCAGCATGTCGAATGATCCAAGGTAGTATTGGATGTTGGTTGCTCAAAGTGAGATTGTAATTGATGGACACTTGTCTGATGAGTGTCCTCACTTGTCCAAGTAGTGTTCTGTGGAATCTTTCGACGCTTCCTTGTGATTGTGAGGAATATGCTGGTGCTTGTCTCACTGAAATGCCGGGCCCCGTTGTTTGGGCCGTTGCTTTGAGAAGACCAAGTAGATAGTCTTCTTGATCTGTTTGTAGGGTTGTTGGGCTGAGCGTTGCTTGTGCCCTGCCACATTCGTAGAGGAATGTTTGTAGGCATCTTGTCAAGTAGTTGAGTTGTTTGCTTTTGTCTTGTACCAGTACGGCCATTGCCATGCCTGTTTCTGCGTCGACTGCTGTAAGTACTGGCATTGTCTGCTTGTCTTGAAAGGCCTTGACATAGCAAAAGTCAACTTGTATGACCGGTTGTGCTGATTTTTGTCTTGGGTGACTGTTTGCTTTTCCTTTTGATTGTACGCAAATGTCGCACCAGGCCCTGTAGGGCAAATGTGTAAGGGAATGTCCTTCCCTTTCTTGTCTTGTTGGTTGTTTTGGCGCTTTGATTGCTCTTGCCTTTTGTGCTGTTGTCACTCCATTGTCGTCATTGTCTGACTCATAGTCATAGTTGTAGGCTGGTTGTTCCTCGAAGTTGGTTGAACCTGTCCATTGTATGCCGAGGTCTTTGTTGCCGATTTCTTTCCAATCATCATTGAGTGTGAATCCTCTTTGTTCTGTGTCTGTTGGTCGAATGATTGTGAGTCTCATTGTTGTAAGCTTTGTGATGTCTGGTCCATCGTCTGTTTGTTGTGGGATGTATTGTTCTCTTCTTGTCTTCACATGTACTCTCTTCCACATATGTCCCTCTCGAAGCCAGTAGTCATTGTTTGACTTCATTGTGAGAGGATGTGGAATGGCTGTTGTTGTTGGCGCGGGCATCTTTGTTGTATGCCTGAATAGTGGTGGTGCTTGTGATCCTTGTTGGATCACCTGTTGTGTCTCTCGTTGTATCTCCACTTGTCGTGGTGGAACCTCAACTTGTTGTTGAGATCCTGTTGCTGTTGGTTGCGATGGCTGCGCTTGTTGTTGCTGGAGTTGTTGTCCTGGTGGTCGATTGACCTTGAACCAGGATTCTCCTGTCCATGCTTGTCCTGTCACCGCTCTCTTTGGTTCATTTTTGCCAAGTGTCTTGTATTGCTCAAAGAAGTCTTCAGTCTTGCCGTCTGGTCTTCTGATGATTGTTCTTCTGTAGTCTGCCAATTGTTCCAAAGGAACTGGGCAATTGTCTCTTGGCACAAATAGTGCCTTTCTTTTGTTCCTGTGGTATCTCACCAAGTATCCTTGATTGTTGTAGCCCCAGTAGTCGTTGTTGCCTCCAAGGACTTGTTGTGGACCTGCTTGTGTCAATGTCGTTGGTGCAATCATTGCAACCATGCCGGCTGTTGTCTGTTGTATCTGTAACTGCTGATTGTTGCCAAGAGTCATGATTGTGGCTGGTAGGTAGTACAAATTGTTCTCTTGTACCAACCTCACGTTGAAACCTTTGTCGTGTGTCATTGTTGGCTGATCGTTGAACATGATGTCAAAACCAGTCTTGTCACTGACAGAATTGGATCGTGAATGTCACACACGTAAAACGGTATGACGATTGGTTGTTGTTGTGATTGCATATAAACCCATCTCACTCCATGGATGGGAATTGTGCTGTTTGTCACTGTTCGAAGTTGTGGCTCTTGTCCTGGTTGCAGTTTGTGTATTGGGTAATTGTCTGCAAACCAGGGTGGGCAGACATGTGTGGCTGCACCACTATCAATCATAATGTTGTGGATTGACATTGTTGCATTGACTGTGTCTTGCTGACTGCTCGTGTTTGTTTGTCCAATCATTGCCACAATGTGGATTGAACCTGGTGGATCTTGTGCTCCTGCTGGCATTGGCATTGGTGGTAATGCCAAATTGTGTTGGTCCTGCAATTGCTGGTTGTTGTGTAAAGTCTTGGTAGTGCCATTGTGAGTCGTAGATGTCTGATTGTGCATACCATTGTGATGCTGCATCGTTGTAATCTTGCGTCGTAGTTGTTTCTCCAATGTTGTGTATTGGAACTCGACAATCTCGAGCGTAGTGTCCTGATTGTCGACATCTGTAGCATGTGTTGGCAACTTGTTTGCCTTTGACCTTGCCTTTGCTCTTTCCTTTGTTGCTTGTCTGGTGTCCTTTGTAGTTGTTGTATCCATTGGATTGTCCCTTTCCTGCTCCAAAGGGATTGCCGTAGCCGATTGGTTGTTGTTGATAGTTGTTTTTGCCGTAATGTTTTCCTTTGCCTTTGTTGTTGTTGTAAAATGGATTGTAGCCGTAGCCCTTTCCTTTGCTTTTGCCTTTGCCCTTGCGCTTTCCTTTTCCTTTGTTGTACTTGCCTTTGCCTTTGTTGAAGAAGGCGTCGATGTCCATAGGTGCTTGTCCACCTGCATAGTGTGTTCCAACACTCGATGTTTGTTGTTGGTATTGCATCTTTGTGAATGCTGTGTTGGACCTGTAGTACTCGAGAATTGTTGCCTTGACTTGTGCATAAGTTGGATTTTGTCCTGAAAGTAGTTGTAGGTGTTGCTGTAGTGCTCCAGTTGTTTCGTTGAGCAGTACAGCAATCTTGACACTGTCTGGTAGTTGTTGTCCATTGTCACGCTCAAACCTGGATAGTTCAAATTCCCAGGCTGCGTGGGATTCTTCCATATTGTTGCTGTCGAATTTGGGTTTGAGTAGTCTTGTGAGATATCCAATTGATCTTGTGCCAAGTGGTATTGAAAAGCGTAGGCATAGTTGTCTGTACATTTCGAAGCCGATGCTTGTTTGGAATTGTCTGCATACTGTGGCTGCTGATCCTGTTGTGGTGTTGATTAGTATGTATTTTAGGTCTGCTGATAGTTGTACGTGCTTTTCTCCTTGTTCGATTGAATCTGCTGCTGCTCGTAGCATTGCATCTGTGAGTTCTGCATTGGCATTGCTTGCTGCTTGTAGTAGTCGGGTGTATTCATTGTCGATCAGGCCCATGTAGGCATTGAACTTGTACTTCCATTCTTCGAAGGTTGCATTGTCTCTTTTGTAGAAGGGAGGTCGTAGCTTGTATCTGCTGATGCTTTGTATGTCCTCTTGTGCTGGTTGTGCTGCAGCTGCTGCTGCCGCCATTGTGTTGTATTGGGCTCTGTTGTTGTTGAGCTACCTGACTTGTGTCAGGGTCAAGGCTCTACCCTTGTTGTCTTTGTTGTTGTTGTTTGTTCTAGGAGCTCACCTGGATTGTTGCCAGGATCACTGCTCCGCTACCATATAAAAATCAGTTGTGAATCAATTGTTGATGGATTGCTCTCCCTGTTGTCCCAGTCACTCTGCAAGCTGATTGTTTTCTCACCTGCAATTGTCTATTGCTCAAGGGCCCTCACAGCAGCGGCATTGTGCATCGACAGCGTGTGATAGAGCCATGGTATTGTACACCACTAACAGTACATGAACATATTGTGTAAACACACTTGTATTCTAACAGGATGGATGGATGGATGGATGGATGAATGGATGCGTGAAATGGCTTTAAAATTATCTGAAGATGCCATTGTTATCCATTGATGGACGCTTAAAAATCATCTGAATATACCATTGTTGTCCACTGATGGATGCTCAAAAGTCATCTGAAAATACCATCAATCATTATATTTAATTGTATAATACCTTAGTGGTGTGGGGGATAGAAATATAAACCACGTCCTTTTGTGGACGCAGTGGTATTTGAATGGACTCTGAAAGCTGACTAAGCGCTAAAGTATGGATACGCATGGACGTGTGTTGGTGATCCCTCTTGCGATAGGACAGGGAGCACATGGTTCTCTCTCAACTGACGCAGAAGTCCAACAGTCATTGAGATGGTCGGATAGGGGAAGTTGCACCCATTCAAATTCTTTGAGAACCGAACGATGAATTCTGGAACTTCTGGAATCCTGAGCTGGAGACTCTTTACATGTGCATCAATCACTTGACGTTGAAGGACTTCCCGACTTCCCGTATGATGAAAGCTGTGCCTCACCTGGACTGACCTCTTCAACTTAGCTAACTTAGCTGCTGGAAACTGGTTGCTGTGGTTCCCCCCTTCATGCCAAGGCTCCTCTCATCGTAGAACTCCAAGTTCAACAAGACCAAATGCAGAGATCTCTGCATCTTCAGTTCTTTAGTGCCATCGGCAATGGTCTTGGCGATCTTCAAGATATCCTTGGCCAAAGCACTGTCCGCAAAGCGCTCGGGTGGCGTCAATTCTCCGGTCTTGCCAGATTGCAGTTCACCTCAAGCAACCACGGCGCAAGGCATGGAAGAGGAAACGGAAAAATGAAAAATATTGATCCTTATGAGTTCAGCAGGATCAATAAGGACCAATCAAAAAATTGTTTAGCCTAATCAACTGTCTACTATTGTCCTTACTAGTAGGAGAGTAATGAATGGATTTAGGACAGGTATTAACCCTTATATATTGGCTATATACTCGAAGACGAATGTACGATACATCAATGGCTATAGTGGTATGAAATAAGAACACTAATCACAAATGATATATGTAGGCAATTTATGAAAGATTCGAAAAACATCATAAAAATGATAATCTCTTAGTTTTCTCTGAGTTGCTGATGAAAATGCCTTCCGGCAAATGAAGGGGGATCTGCCAACGGTGCACGAAGTCGATCAAGTTCTTGGGTCCAATGGGGAAGTTCAGTTCACTCCTCGGACAGCTGCGGCTCTGCGCCCGAGGGCGGTGGCTGAACCAATATGAGCCGATCACCCTTAAAGGCTTAAAATATCTTAAAATGGCTTAAAGAGGTCCTCTGGTTGGAATCACTGCCAGAAAGATATGGACATGGGACAAAATCTTGGTACCCTTCTGTTCACATCCCCAAAATGAAGAAATATAGCTGGCTGATTGCGATGTTCACCTTCCAATTTTGCTGCTATTTGGTATTGACCCATGGCATCCCATGGCCATCCCTCGCGCCTCAAGGGGTGCAACACAAGATCGACCTCATCATGCTCCTTTGGAGAAAATCTCCAGAACTCGACCCAGCGTGGTTTCGACCTACCGCGAAGCGCTGCGATGACATCGCAAATCGCATATGGGGCAAAAATGGACAAAACCTGCCTACCTGAAAGTGTGGCGGATCTAAATTCCCTCGTTTTCTGGCCGGATAGCTGAGCACTACCTTTTTCTGAGTTTACATTTCAGCAACCTGGACAATGCTGGCCACGACATGCCTACGATCATTGCAGATGTCTAGGTTTTCCACAAAGCGCAAGATGAGACTCTTCACATCGGTTGGCTTTGTCAGTACATGACCTGCCCAAGGCACACGGCAAAGGCACCGGCTTCACCCGGCCATGGCGATGTTGTCCTCTAATCTATTGATGGTCCATCACACTAACAATGGAAATGGTTTGCATCATGTGTCTAAGATTGGACTTTGGTCCAACCGTCCAACCGTCCAACCCCATCTTAAGAGCTCTACTTCTGGCCTTCGTTTCCGACTGACTCAATCCGATCACAAATGGCAATGTCCTCATCTTCAGATCGGTCGCAGCGGAACAAGCAGACACGCTTCCTCGGGGCAGCAATCAACTGCGGAGTGTGTCTGCATTGTTGGCTTCTAAACCTGCTCAGAAAACTAATACCCTTGCGATTTTCAGAGAAAACCCAGACTCGGAAGTGGTCATTTTCAGCAGAGAACTCCCAATCACAACGAGTTCTCACATATGGCAGGAGTTCTCTCCAAGCTGCTGGAGGAGACCGCCATCCTCGACAAAACTCTGATGGCACCGCCAGACTCTTCCGTCGATTTCCGTCCTGACTCCACTGACTCCATGTGCTCAGCAAAGGCACCAGCGGAGACCACAGAAATTCCCAAACAAAAACATATTACGGTATGCGTCAAAACAGAGATACCACAAACCTACACCGAAACGTTTAATTTCAGTACGAAAACCAATGGTTTGGGTGTTTGGCACAAACCTGTACACATCTGAATTAACACAAAAAGGATGTCTTCAGAGCTTCGTTGCTGCAGTACAGCCTTACAATTCGCTCAGGCTGAGCAACATTGAGAGCGGGCTGACCACGGTCGTCTTCCCAGCTCCCATGATCTGCTTCACTCCGCTGTCTGCTGTCTCCTCCTTCAACTGCTGGAAGTCGGAGATGGCAACCTGTCGCTCATGCAACATCTTGTTGTCCGAAAACCTGGCGAGATCCCAAGTGATCAGAGATTGTACAGCAGTTGCTGTGGAGGCCGCGACCAAATCCGTTCGTAACACCACAAAGAAGAGGGAAAAAAAATGAAATGGTTTCATATATCACGCCCTGGGATAAGATACCGTATCTGTTCCACCCACATGTCACCTCACTTCACCTCCCTCCAGTTGCGCCAAGGGACTCAAAGACCGGATCATACGCCAAGTTGTTCTGCACATAATGCCTGCGAGCATCCAAGCGCCTCGCCACCAGCAGGTCATTGGGCAATTTACCCTCCTGGCGGCTGTGGCTTGTGAGGTTCAGCAAGAAGAACATCCAGCCAGCATCTATACGTAATCTATACCTGGCACGAAATCAATACATCACATCAAATCACATCACATCGAGTCACCCGTGTCACCCCCCTTTCAAGCCGAGCCCCTTGGAAGCGTTCCCCTTGGTTCACTCCTCCTGCACCACAGAGAGGCCCTCCTTTCATCAGCATCTTCTGGTCGCGGGCTTCAGCCAACGATCCGTTGGCCAAAACGACTCGAACTGCTCGGAGCATCGCATGGGAAGTCAGCTGCAAAATGTCGCGAACCTGGCAACACTTGGAACATGTTAACATCTTAAGATATATATTTAAGATACATCTTAAGATACGGAAACTCAGAAAGGATATCACACATTATCAGACTGATTAGATCTGATTCGTCTCAGTCAAGCCACGTAACGTTGCACCAACTGGATTCTGAGTTCAAAGGCTTTTCTACCACTGGCGTAGAAAAAACACATCGTTATCTTCGTTATGCTTCAGCCGCAGCATCCTGACCTCGTTTTCCGGTAGGAAGAGGTTGATGCGCTGCCAATCTTCAGCTGAAGACGAGAGCAGGGATCGGCCCGCTGCAACCAAGACATGAAACATTTTGGATCTCTTCTGATTCATCTGATTCGTGGCCTCAAGGCGAGGAGAGCCCAGCATTTTGGATCTCCTGTTTCTGGCAAGCGAAATGATTCATGGTGGGGAGTCAAAACCATGCTTGGTAAACATACGAAAAATGGTTACAGAATGGTTTTTGTTGGGATGTTCATCCATCAATTTGGTGATAAGTGATATTGACCCATGACCACATGGATCTATCATTCTTTGATTTCCGAATCAAAGAAAAACCCTCCTTGAGCCGAGCTTGACCATTCACCCACGGTTCCTCAACACCCTTCCGCCGAACCAAGGAACCCAAGGAACGGGAGATGCGCAGAAGCCGCCCGGGCACCGCCATTTGTTGCCTTCCCTCGCCATTTTCTTCCCTCAGACGCGCTGCCATTAAGATTCCCCGAAAGCACTCCACACCACTGCTTCAAAACTTGGTCGGTTTGCTTATCAGTTCTGGAAATCTCCCATACAAGCTGTCTGGAACCTCCAGGAAGTCAGCACATACACCGAACCGGAGGATCATCCTTCTGTGTAAAGACAGAACCGGAGGATTACCTTTCTGTGTAAAGACAGAACCGGAGGATCACTCATTTGTGTAAAGACAGAACTGGAGGATCATCTTTCTGTGTAGAGACAGAACCGGAGCACCATCTTTCGGCTTCTGCTCGAAACAGACCCGGAGGATCACTTTTCTGTGTAGAGACAGAACCGGAGGATCACTTTTCCGTGTAAAGACAGAACCGGAGGATCCCTTTTCGGTGTAAAGACAGAACCGGAGGATCACTTTTCTGTGTAAAGACAGAACCGGAGGATCATCTTTCTGTGTAGAGACACAACCGGCGGATCATTGTTCTGTGTAAAAACAAAACCGGAGGATCATCTTTTTGTGTAGAGACAGAACCGGAGCACCATCTTTCGGCTTCTGCTCGAAACAGACCCGGAGGATCACTTTTCTGTGTAGAGACAGAACCGGAGGATCACTTTTCCGTGTAAAGACAGAACCGGAGGATCCCTTTTCGGTGTAAAGACAGAACCGGAGGATCACTTTTCTGTGTAAAGACAGAACCGGAGGATCATCTTTCTGTGTGTGTAAAGACAGAACCGGAGGATCATCTTTTGTGTGTACCGGAGGATCACTTCTCGCTGTAAAAACAAAACCGGAAGATCACTATTCTGTGTCAAGACAGAACTGGAGGATCATGTTTCTGCGTCCAGACAGAACTGGGGGATCACTTTTCTGTGTAAAGACAGCACCGGAGGATCACTTTTCTGTGTAAAGACATAACCGGAGGATCACTTTTCTGTGTAAAGACAGAACCGGAGGATCACTTTTCTGTTGAAGACAGAACCGGAGGATCATCCTTCCGTGTAAAGACACAACCGGCGGATCACCCATCTGTGTAAAGACAGAACCGGAGGATCATCTTTCTGTGTGAAGACAGAACCGGAGGATCATCTTTCTGTGTAAAGACAGAACTGGAGGATCACTTTTCTGTGTAAAGACAGAACCGGAGGATCATTGTTCTGTGTAGAGACAGAACCGGAGGATCATTGTTCTGTGTAGAGACAAAACCGGAGGATCATCTTTCTGTGTAAAGACAGAACCGGAGGATCATCTTTCTGTGTAAAGACAGAACCGGAGGATCACTTTTCCGCGTAAAGACAGAACCGAAGGATCACTTTTCTGTGTAAAGACAGAACCGGAGGATCACTTTTCTGTGTAGAGACAAAACCGAAGGGTCATCTTTCTGTGTAAAGACAAAACCAGAAGATCATCTTTCTGTGTACAGACAAAACCGAAGGATCACTTTTCTGCGTAAAGACAGAACCGAAGGATCGCTTTTCTGTGCAAAGACACAACCGGAGGATCACTTTTTGCTGTAAAAACAAAACCGGGGGATCACTATTCTGTGTAAAGACAGAACCGGAGGATCATCTTTCTGCGTAAAGACAGAACCGGAGGACTTTTCTGTGTCAAGACAGCACCGGAGAATCACTTTTCTGTGTAAAGACAGAACCGGAGGATCACTTTTCTGCGTAAAGACAAAACCCGAGGATCATCTTTCTGTGTAAAGACAAAACGGGAGGATCACTTTTCTGTCTAAAGAAAGAACCGGAGGATCATCTTTCTGTGTAAAGACAGAACCGGAGGATCACTTTTCCCTGTACAGACAGGGGTCATGTTTGTGTGTAAAGACAGCACCGGAGGATCACTTTTCTGTGTAAAGACAGAACCGGAGGATCACTTTTCCGCGTAAAGACAGAACCGGAAGGATGTTCTTCTTGTGTAACAACAAAACCGGAGGATCATCTTTCTGTGTAGAGACAAAACCGAAGGGTCATCTTTCTGTGTAAAGACAGAACCGGAGGATCACTTTTCCGTGTAAAGACAGAACCGGAGGATCACTTTTCTGTGAAAAGACAGCACCGGAAGATCACTTTTCTGTGTAAAGACAGAACAGGAGGATCACTTTTCTGTGTAAAGACAGCACCGGAGGATCACTTTTCTGTGAAAAGACAGAACCGGAGGATCATCCTTCCGTGTACAGACAGAACCGGAAGGATGTTCTTCTTGTGTAAAAACAAAACCGGAGGATCATCTTTCTGTGTAAAGACAGAACCGGAGGATCATCTTTCTGTGTAAAGACAGAACCGGAGGATCACTTTTCCGTGTAAAGACAGAACCGGAGGATCACTTTTCTGTGAAAAGACAGCACCGGAGGATCATCTTTCTGTGTAAAGACAGAACCGGAGGATCATCTTTCTGTGTAAAGACAGAACCGAAGGATCGCTTTTCTGTGTAAAGACAGAACCGGAGGATCACTTTTCTGTGTAGAGACAGAACCGGAGGATCATCTTTCTGTGTCAAGACAGAACCGGAGGATCATCTTTCTGTGTAACGACAGAACCGGAGGATCATCTTTCTGTGTAAAGACAGAACCGGAGGATCACTTTTCCGTGTAAAGACAGAACCGGAGGATCACTTTTCTGTGTAAAGACAGAACCGGAGGATCACTTTTCTGTTGAAGACAGAACCGGAGGATCATCCTTCCGTGTAAAGACACAACCGGCGGATCACCCATCTGTGTAAAGACAGAACCGGAGGATCATCTTTCTGTGTGAAGACAGAACCGGAGGATCATCTTTCTGTGTAAAGGCCGAACCGGAGGATCACTTTTCTGTGTAAAGACAGAACCGAAAGATCATCTTTCTGTGTAAAAACAGACCCGGAGGATCATCTTTCTGTGTCAAGACAGAACTGGAGGATCATTGCTCTGTGTAATTACAGACAAAAACGAGGATCATCTTTCTGTTTCTGGTCGAGACAGAACCGGAGGATCACTTCGCTGTGTAGAGACAGAACTGGAGGATCATCTTTCTCCGTAAAGACACAACCGGAGGATCCCTTTTCTGTGTAAAGACAGAACCGGAGGATCACTTTTCTGTGTAAAGACACAGCCGGAGGATCATCTTTCTGTGTACAGACAAAGCCGGAGGGTCATCTTTCTGTGTAAAGACAGAACCGGAGGATCATCTTTCTGTGTAAAGACAGAACCGGAGGATCCCTGTTCTGTGTAAAGACAGAACCGGAGAATCATCTTTCTGTGTAAAGACAGAACCGGAGGATCACTTTTCTGTTGAAGACAGAACCGGAGGATCCCTTTTCTGTGTAAAGACAGAACCGGAGGATCACTTTTCTGTGTAAAGACAGCACCAGAGGATCACTTTTCTGTCTAAAGAAAGAACCGGAGGATCATCTTTCTGTGTGAAGACAGAACCGGAGGATCACTTTTCTGTGTAAAGACAGACCCGGAGGATCATCTTTCTGTGTACAGACAGAACCGGAGGATCATCTTTCTGTGTAAAGACATAACCGGAGGATCACTTTTCTGTGAAAGGACAAAACCGGAGGATCACTTTTCTGCGCGCAGACAGAACCGGAGGATCATCTTTTTGTGTAGAGACAGATCCGGAGGATCCCTTTTCTGTGTAAAGACAGAACCGGAGGATCATCTTTCTGTGTAAAAACAGAACCGGAGGAGCACTTTTCTGTGTAAAGACAGAACCGGAGGATCACAACGGGAGGATCATCTTTCTGTGGACAGGCAAAGCCGGAGGATCGTTTTTCTGTGTAGAAACAAAACCGGAGGATCCTTTGTCTGTGTAAAGACAGAACCGGAGGATCACTTCTCTGTGTAAAGACAAAACTGGAGGATCACTTTTCTGTGTAAAGACAGAACCGGAGGATCACCTTTCTGTGTAAAGACAGAACCGAAAGATCATCTTTCTGTGTAAAAACAGACCCGGAGGATCATCTTTCTGTGCACAGACAGAACCGGAGGATCACTTTTCTGTGTAAAGACAGAACCGGAGGATCATCTTTCTGTGTAAAGACAGAACCGGAGGATCATCTTTCTGTGTAAAGACAGAACCGGAGGATCATCTTTCTGTGTAAAGACAAAAAGCAGAGGATCACTTTTCTGCGTAAAGGCACAACCGGAGGATCACTTTTCTGTGTAAAGACAAAAAACGGAAGATCACTTTTCTGTGTAAAGACAGAACCGGAGGAGCGCTTTACTGTGGAAAGACAAAACAGCAGAGGATCACTTTTCTGTGTAAAGACAAAACCGGAGGATCACTTTTCTGTGTGAAGACAGAACTGGAGGATCATCTTTCTGTGTAAAAACAAAAAACAGAGGATCTCTTTTCTGTGTAAAGACAGAACCGGAGGATCACTTTTCTGTGTAAAGACAGACCCGGAGGATCATCTTTCTGTGTAAAGACAGAACGGAAAGATCATCTTTCTGTGTAAAGACAGAACCGGAGGATCACTTTGGTGTGTAAAGACAGAAGCTGAGGATCACTTTTCTCTGTAAAGACAGAGACGGAGGATCACTCATTTGTGTAAAGACAGAACCGGAGGATCACTTTTCTATGTGAAGACAGAACCGAAGGATCGCTTTTCTGTGTAAAGACAGCACCGGAGGATCATCTTTCTGTGCACAGACAGAACCGGAGGATCATCTTTCTGTGTCAAGACAGAACCG